GGGGGGGGGGGGGGCGCCATTGGAACTGCTTGCCCTGGGCGCCAACATCCCCAGAAACGGCCCTGCATAGGACGCCTCCCTCTCGGACGGAAAACGAATAAAGAGTACATGTCCGGGTAAAACCGGACGTATGGTCACCCTATCAAAGAGGTCTTGAGACCTCATGAATTGACATGCAGTCCACAGGTGAGTCCACCATTACTAGTAAACTGTGATTATGCCAGCACCGAGCTCATGCAAGCAGTTACAAATGAGCAATCCTCCATATCGCATGAGATTTTTGCATATTACACCGCACCATGTGTTGGAAAGCTGACTAGAAGTGCATACAGCGGAATAAACGCCCACTTGATAGCCATATTCCAGGATTTTTTCTTCGCTTTCCGCATTCCGCATTTTACCGGAACCCCACGTGTGCGGCAATAGAGACCGAGACCCTTGAGGCCTAAGTCCTCCCGATTCAATTTTACATTTTAAGGCATTTTCAACCACAGGCGGATCTCGCGGTAGGAGGATGGTGATGACTTGTGCTGTCTTTAGTATTTATGCTAGAATTTCGCTCTTGTGCTTGTGAAACACTTCCCACTTGAGCGTCCAGATCAGTTGTATTCAAACTTTTTGTGCCGAAGGCCCCATCCAGGCGCGATCAATCTTATTCTGCACTGCTGCACTGGAATATATATTTTTTGTTACTACAGTGTTTTCACTTGAGCCAGGAAATTTTCACTTCACTCGGACACCTGTGCAGGGGACGTTTCTCCTGCAACGGTGTCAAAGTCAAGTGAAACAAATGTAATTTAAAATTCTTCTTGAATAAGAAGTACTTTTTGTCTGAACTAAAACCAAGAACCTGTCTTATCCAGCCAAATCCAGCCCAGTCTCAAGACATAATTGACAGTGCATGTATTTTCCTCTCAAATGGCATAGATCCTAAAACCATCAATTTCAAAACAGGTGAGAGGACAGATATGAAGTTTAAGGGGTTGGAATTTGTCTCACCTTTCTTTCAGAATAGCATATTTTTCTGGGAAGTGGGGACTGATCATTAGTATCTAATACCCATAAGGGCTGAGTTTTCCCCTTATTTGAGGTAAACATCTGCTAAACCACAACCATTACAATTGAGGTTTGACATCAGCATGCTGTATGTATTGCCATAAGAGTCTTCCCCCTTAAGTAGTTAAAATGTTGATCATCTAGTCCACTCGCCCACTAACCTGGAATTTGTTTGCATGGGACTCTTTTTCTTCTCATAGCATTAATATGTGATAGCTTTGATGATCCCACATCGGCATCAATATCAACTCTTTACTCCCATTTCAACAAAGAGAAAATCAGCCACATTAATTTGTCATGTTGCTATTACACCACCCTATTTCAGATAATTCCAAACTGAAGAAACCAGTCTCCTTACCTATAATACTACTGTATGTCTTCCTTCATTCCCATTTTATCTTTATTTTTTAATTTATCCTATCACACTCCATCCAAGGAGGAAGGCTACCCTGCACCTCGGAGGTGAATCGACTATCAATATAAGCATACATACAGTTGATGCTTTATATAATGAACCTATGTGTTACAAATTTTCTTTCTTACAAATGTGTTTAAAGTTCCTGGTGGTTTGTCTATTCACATGTGTTGAAAATTTTCTCTATCATGAAGTTCTGTATAACAAATTGTTCAGTTTTATGAAGTCATTTTTTTTTTGTCTGAAGGAATTAAACTGTTCTCTATTACATAATTAGAGCCTGCTGCATATGTCAAAGATGTTCAGAGCTACTTTCTTTTGTGGATTCCTGAAAAATCTCATCTCATATCTAAATTTAGCAGGTCTCACTCACTTATTGGTGAGGTTGTGGGGAGTAAGGGAGCTCTGTAAGTCAATCTTCATCTTCTCAGGACACGAAGGATCAGGGTCTGGCCAAGTTTAGAATTCTGCTTGGTTGGGCAATTGAAGCTTTTAACTATCTTCAGCTGTTTTTCCGTCAAAGGCTGAATGTTAAGACTGAAACTCAAACATTGAGTCCTCTGCAGATCATGGCTCAAAGAATTGTCCAGGAAAGAGCATGCCAGAAAACTATTTGGGACTTTGTTTCCAATGAGTAGACAGCACCCATGACTCATCTGATATTTATTGCACCTACATAAGGACACTTCTGTGCATGCCCATTTAAGTACATACACACATTATGGAAGCTGTATTGTTGCAATACAACAAATGCACTCAGATTTTTACATTCTTTCATGAATGGACAAATGCATCTTTTTTTTACATTAAATGACATTTTGTTGAAGAGTCCCCCTTTTTTTTCTCAGCACAATTTAGGAAATTCCTTATTGCAAATTTTATTTATCAAAAAATTTTTTTGCTCATCCCTTTGAGTTTGTTATATTGAAGTCAATTGTATATGTTAATACTTTTGGCTTTCCTGAATATGTACTGTTCTTAAAGTTCATTTGAGTGAAGAAGTATCTTTAAGTTGTGCATGGCCATGTCAGACAAAATCCTGTTGTCATTTTGGTCTCCCTTGTTGAAAACTTGTGAAAATTTTCAATGGACTTGGTAATCCAAATTGTGCTGACCTTCAGTGCAAAGTCTGGCTCTTGTGACTTATTGGTCTTACACCTTTAATTTTCTCCCCAGTTTAGATGGGATCCATTCCAATGTAAGTATGTTGAATATTAGAAGGCACTGTGTCACTGATGATTGTATGCTATTGATTCATTTGAGTTTTTGTAGTTTTCACAGCTGAGAGGTAAAATGATGACTAAGTCATTATGTTAGCTTCTAGCATCCCTAAGTGCCTAACAAGTATAATAAGTATAACAGTATAATTTTTAATATTTGCAGCTTGAGTGCATGCAAAAATTACCATTGGACTTGATGGTATATGGCTTTTGTATATATAATCCCTCTCTTGTTGAGAGTAAACTTGGACTTCTTTGCAAAAATCCAAAGGTGCTTTTCCCATCACTTTTTCACATGTTGTTTGGTAGTGTGGTGACTTGGTTGGACCCCATTTTCCTTGCCTCTATTTCCTTGCTCATGGAAAGATTGGAAATCCTAACCTATGTTGGCCTAGATGAGCCTCTGCTTAATGGGCACCCTGAATCATTGTACTTCTTGCTTATTTACATTCCCTCTTTCTTTCTTTTATCATTTCCTTTCGTTGCTCTGTGTATGCCTTTGAATTTCTCCTCCGCCTATGAAATGAGCACATATGCATGAAAAAATGGAATCCTGACCTGAAGTTGGAGATTGATTGTGACATCAAATTTTGTGTGACTGTAGGAGTCAGTAGCAAGCTTCCCGTAGACAAAAACATATTGAGATAGTTCCCTGAGTTGGTTCAATATATATGAGTGGTTCATGAAGTTTAACCCTTTCAGGCCTAGTGGGACTAGTGGAAAGGTTGTAACCCTGATTCAAATCAGTTTACTTGAAATTCTGAAGATGTTCTTTTTCTCTTCACAGATTGTGGTTCCAGACCAAGGCCTGCATTTTGATTAATCTGTCATTGACTGGGACTCTATTTCATTTATGACCATGTCCTTACTGATAACAAAGAGTGTGAATTGGTTTTTGGATGGAGTGCTTGACTGCTCCCCATCGGGGATAATTTGTCATGGAACTATGCGTCAATTGGTGGTGCTTGATGCCAGTGACTTCGTATCATCAGAGAAGGAAAATGTTTCCATGAAGATCCTCACTATCTTTGCAAAGGCTCACAAAGAAAAAGTTCTTGGTGTTTCACTAGTGAAGAAGCCAATTGTTGATTCTGTTGTCTCTTGTGATGAAAACTGTGTTAAATTGTGGAGTATAACAGATAGGAAGGAGGTCTCTTCTCACTCGTTTCACCGGGAAGAAGTGAGTCAAGCAGTTTTGCTTTAGTCAGCTAAGTTCTGTCTGAATTTCTTTCTTCTGATACAAAATGAAAGAATGCTGCTCATTTCTACTCTCTTCCCTAATTTTGCTTTTTGGTATATGACCCATACTTGTAATGATACCAATAAGCCTGAAATTCAAATTTGTGGTGAACATAGGTTTGCCAATTATGTATATAGGTCTGCATGAAATGGTATTTCCAGCTCAATTAAACCTGCAGAAGTCTTGTAAGAATGCTGCACTCTCCCATCTTTTTCAGGGGAAGAAGGTAACCTGTGTTGATTGGTCACTTTTGGATGTCTCTATTGTTCTGTCTGGAGATGATGGAGGTGGAATAGTTGTCTGGAATGTTGTCTCCAACTCAGCACGGTATTTGAAGCTCTTCAACAAAAGTATAATCAATGTCAAATGTAGCCCTCAACAAAAAATAGCAGCTATATCTATGAAAACTGGTGTCATGCAGATCTTCTCCTATGAAAGTAAGCTTATAAAAACATTACACCCTCTTAGTGACTTTCTGTCATTGTAGTTCACTATGCCATGTAAAGGCCATTCTATCCTTTTTTTGCAGAGAAAGGGAAAATTCTGCAGCGGCTGAATCACCGTGATGAAGTGACAAGCTTCACCTGGATGCCAATGGCAGATGAAGACAGTAAAGCAAAAGATGCTGGTCTTTGTCTCTGTTCTTGCACATCTAATAAGGTGCTGTATGTGTGGGGTGCTAAAGGAGGACACCAAGAGGGATTTCATCATATCCCTGCTGCAAGCCAGGGAGATAAGACAAGCAAATCCTGCCATTGCACCATCCGATCTGTGGACAGCAACCGGGTCATTGTCAGTGGATCTGGGGGTGTACTTTTCCTTTTTCAGGTCAATGGAACCTCAAATTTTCAGAGGTTCTCTGGGCCATTTCAGCACCGACTAGAAGTATTCAACATTGCCATTATGGGGAATGCCATCTTTACTGTCTCAAAAGATAGAAATCTCATACAGTGGGATATAGAAAAGTTGGAGTCAAAAATGATGATCCCAACATGTGGTGGCTGGATCTATGACATCTCTGTTTCTCCAACTGACCCCAGCAGGTAAATATACTTCATGGAAAGTACCACTAATGGAAAAAAAAAGCTTTTGTAACAAATAAGAAGTCAAATACTCCAATACCTTTGAATCTGCAGGGTTAAGCCATTGAGAGAGAAAGATGAAACCCCTCATTGACTACTGTTTCATTCTACAGAATAGCATTTGCCTGTGGTGACCAAACTGCAAAGGTGTGGAAATCCAAGACTCAGTATCAGCTGGATTTTACAACCTTGTATCAAGGATTACGATCCAAAGTGACCTGTGTGAGATTGCCTGCCTTCATTCATTCAGCTTGTAACTGGTCTATATCAAAGAGTTACAAATGAGTCAACCTAACTCAATTTAGCCATGGACAAAAAAAGATGTTTGTTCATTAACTGATTATTTTAATGATTTTTTGGTAAGATAAGTCATTTTAATAGAACTCATCAGTTGTTCTTGCTGATTTTCTTAATATGAAGTTGTAGAATATTTTTTTGGAGTGGGGCTTATTTTGTCATATGTAGGGCACATTGAAAGACTCATATCGGAAAGAGTTTTGAAGGATACACTTTTAATATAATCTCATTGAAGGAGAAGACAAAGCAACATTGAATGTGACTTCATGTCTGAGAAGTAGTTATCCCAACATTGATAGCATACTGAATGAAATTAATGAAAACTGTTAGTCATAGCCAAATATGGTGAAGTTACAGAAAAAAAAAAAAATTGGAATGAGCAAAAGGAATATTACAGTATAAAAACTGGAAGTGTCTATGGCTGAACAGTTTTTTAAGTACTCCTCATGTATGCATGGTATACGAGTGAATATGGATGGATGAAATGATGACTTGGTGTTATGCTCCAAAATGGACTATGCCATAAAAAAAAATAAATCCCATTAATCACTTAACCAATTAGTTAATGCCACACTTGCAAGATGACTCATCTGGAAACTCTGGAATTTTGAATGTGAGTATCAGACCTTTAAAAACCAAAACCCAGAGCCAAATTATGGGACCAAATTTTGTAAGTTGCATTTTTTTTTAAATAAGAGGAGAGTCACTGGTATTATTTTCCTGTCAATCAAAGCAGGTAGACATCAGAAATGGCTATACATTTTTTGCAATTTTGGAGTTTTTGTTATTTTACATTATTCAAAAGTGGAATCTTTCCAGACTACCTCAGAACAGTCTACTGATTGCCTTTACGGGGAGAGGTTGTATGCAGAGTTTCCATGAAACAGGAATTAATTTGCTTTCTCTGAGAAGAGATTTAGAGTGAGTGCTGAAAACATTTTTATTTTTGCCAGAAATGGGCTGTTTTGGAGAGCCTATTTTGATTGTTGGCATCACTACATTTCAGGTATGAGTCACATTCAAAATTTGCTTGATTTGTTTGAAATGAGACCATAATAAAAATTCTACATTCAGAACTTTTCCAGGAACCTTACTTTTGGCAAAGTCAGCCAGGAAAAGGAAAAAAAAATAGGCATCCCATACTTTGTGGTAGAAAAACTTGCATAATTCCCAGTGATTATTATTAAAAATACTCATCATCAAGAATATCTAAAGTAGAATTGGAGTGAGTGACTTTCTCCATTGGGTAAATGACTTGTTTCCTTACTCTCTTTAGGTTTCCTGGCACCCAAGAAAGGAGTATCAGTTGGCTATTGGCACAGAGGATGGTCGTGTGGGTGTATTTGATGTGTTCAATATGAAGCCACCTATTCTTTCAAAAAGCACTCATCGGAAGATTGTCTACAGCTTACTGTGGGCTCCAAGTACATACACCAATGGTGAATGAAATTTTTTATAACTTGGAGGCCCTTATGCTACAAAGTCAGTATTTTCTCCAGAGACTTACTGCTATTTTTGCTAAATATTTTCAGGGGAGAATCCTCCCAAGGAAGAGTATTTGTTGTACAGTGTTGGCGATTCCATCATCTATCAACATTCAGGTGACATGGAAACAAGTGAGTTCTGCTGATCTTTTCCTAGGGTTACAGTGGTGCATGAATCTTAGCATGTTTGATGTAGGCCCATCTTAAGAACATGCACTGGAGAAAATCACTTTGGAAATGGGCATTTTGAGGCGGTTGATCCCTCAAATTTGATAAGTTTGGTGTGTAGGTTCCCTTTGGTGAGTTATTGAATACCTGTGAATACTTCTAAAATTGTAAAAAAATTGTGACCTTAGAGTATGTGCCTAGGTAATTACTGCCCCTGCCTACAGCTGCAAGAATGCACTCATATGCTAGGAATTTGTTGCATGAAAAAATCTGGACAAAATTTGATATGTCAGCTCCAAAGACTCCTGGAAAAGGTTAACAATATTTCTCAAAATTGAAAAAAAAGTTCAAAATGTGCAAAAGTAGGACAGCTTGCTGCTAAGAAACTATTACTGGACTTGTGTCATTCCATATGAAATCTGAAATGCTTCTCCCTTAAACTGTTAAATGAATTCAGTTTTATTTCTGGGGGAAAAAGTTATGTATTATGAAAAGGGAAGTTTACCTTTTTCACCAACTTCAGCACAATATAGCTTTTCGCCACGAACAGTTTTGGAACTAAAGATGAGCCAATCAAAAGCCACTTTTTTAGCTGGACATGAGAAAAATAATCAAATTGTGCTTCTTTTGCAAAAGTTTCCCATTGAAAACATAAAGGTGGGTACTTTTGCCACCTTCAATGCCCACTGACTTTATGCTACTGAAGTTGAAATGGGCAAAGTCTTGGGGCACAATCTTTGGTCTAGCATAACTAAAAAAATCACAAAGGTATTTTTTATATGATGAATTCAACTTCTTCTCACAGTTTTCACAGTTAAAGGAAGAATCTTTACAGATTCCATTTGGTATAAGAAGTGTCCAGATATTGTTTCTTAGCAGCAACTTATAGTGATCCCAAGTTAGCACATTTTGCACTTTTGATGTGATTCAAAGAGAAATTGTGACTGTACCAAAAATGTTGGGGAAAAACCCTTTTCAGAGGAGTCTTTGGAGTCCATAGAATTGACATGCCAAATTTTATCCAATTATGTTCATACAGTTTTTATTTAGCACATGAGTGCATATTTGGAGTTGTGGGTCAGAGCAGAAGATATCTAAGGTCACAATTTCAGAGATTTTCACTAATCAACTAAAGGAAACTTGCATGCCTAATTTAATCAAATTCCATGGCATCTATTTCTGCCTTTGCTGAATTTTCTTGCTTAGGCACTCCCAAATGTTGACCTCCATATTTCACCAAAATGTGTACTGAATGTTTAGTTGACTGACCACTGGTAATCAGGATGCTTATGTTAACTGGGGAATGGCTTTCATCTCTCTTTTATTTGGTGTGAAGGAGGGAGAAACCTTCAAGAGGTAATAGATGCTGCTATGGGGAGTGGGCCTGTTCCTGCTCGATCAGACATAACATGGAAAGAAGGCTCCTCTATTCTCACCATTGGCAATGAAGACGGGTTAGTGTAATTATTCTTTCTTTAATTTCTTAATTTGTTGTTTGAGTTTTCAGGTTTATGTTGAATAATCTCCCTGATTCCCAGGACCATTGAAATGTTCTCTATGCCTCACTTAGTCAGGCTGACAACAATCTACTCCTGCAAGAGAATGATAGTGGACCTTCATTTTCATCCTACTTACTCTCTATCTTCTGATTTACCATCAAAATACTCTGGTTGGCTTGCTGTTGCATCTAGTGAACCTACCATCCATATCATTGACTGCACTACTGTTTTTGAAGGTAGGCCTCAAGTGTTTTTCATTAGATAATTTTTTAGTTGAAGTGGATGTAAAAGGATTTGGGTAGACAGGCAGTAGCTCATGCCAAAAGGTTTACATAAGTGTCTTTATGCAAAAAGGAGAATAGTGCATGAGGAAAACAATATCTCAGCCAAAATAGGCCTGCTTGGCAGTTATATATAAGCCTATTTTCCCTTGCAACTTAAGTGAAGTGACCTGTCTGCCAAGTGTCATTGAAATATAATTCAAGCACAATTGTTTTCAAAATGAATAACATATGATACAGACACCCTATACAATGCAGAGATGCATATTATTAGTATATGATCATTGAGTTCAAGATCTTTTGAGGAAAGCTGATATTTGTACTTTTAGAACATGATGGTCATTCATGCATGGTCATTTAGTCATTATAGTATGCTCAGAGTTATGAATAGGGTACCAGTTGAAAAGATTCTCTTATTCTATATACTTTTTCATAATTAAAAAAATAAAAGATGAAAGCAATGGAATAATGTTAATATCAGAATTTTTTATTGCATAGCTCTATACTATGTGTGGGGGATGTATTTTTATGCTCTTGCATATTTTTCCCTTTCCTGTAATCATTATCACATGCATGGTGAAGATAAAAGCACTTACACTTATTGTATCAACAATGCTAAAAATGTCATATTTTGCAGAGTATGTAAGGGTAACCTAGATTTAAATGAACCATGCTTGATATCTATTAGATATTTAACCCTTTTAGTGCTGTGCAGTTGATTTTTCAGCCATGTGTACTGCAGCAAAAAATTTCATGGACCAAATTTTTCACCACAGCTTTTCATTGGGTTTATTCTATTCCTTCACATAGTTGGAGTTCTTATCATTAGAGGGCATAAAAATCAGCCGCACTGCACTAAAAGGGTTAATGTGTTGTGACCACCTACCACAATTTAAAGGTTTTCTCCATGGTGGAGCTAGATGAAGTTGTCTGTAAACGCTCTTGGAAAAAAAAGTTATTTTTCTGATTTTGTTTTGAGTCTTCTTTAGCAAAAAAAATGGTATGGGGATTTTGGAGGCTTCTAATTTATTGCTGGAGGTGATAATGTCAACCCTTGTGTGAATTTATCCTTTATTGCGTAGCTCTCTTCTTTTTTCCCACCCATATCTCAATCATGGACAGTGTTGTTCAGGCAAAATGGCAGCACTTTAGTATCTCTTATTCGGGAATACACAATATATTGGCAAACAAGAGTAGGTTACATCATGTTGCTAAGTTTTCATGTTTGTCAATATGCAGGGAGGAGGCTAAAATTAAATTTTCAGGTCATTGTCAGTGTCTAAAGTGAGGTTTTTTAATTATCAGAAAGCCAAGATTGTGAGAAATGTTATAAAAACTAAACAGCAAACCTTGGTCAATTTAAAACATGACAACTGCTAAAAAGGCAGTTCTGGAAAAGGATATAGACTGCAAAAAGAGTGCTTTGGGATCTGAGCAATTTGTGCTTCTCAGGTCCACCTGTTGTGCCATTATCAATTGTGTCACGTCTTGTCTGTCAGCTTTGTAAAATAGGCATAATTTTTTAAGTAATGGGTAAACATATAAAACAATAGCAATTTGTTTAGCTAGGGATGCTTCTTTGTTGTTTCTTTTCTGTGACCTTTATAAATAGATATCTATGGTGTAAACAATTTTGTAAAATAATACTTGGAGAGGCAAAATTGAGGGAGGTCTTTTACCAGCTGCAAGAAGAGTTTTTTTTATGCACTGTGCAAGTAGTTATATGATTGTTTGTCCCAAAGGAGGCAGAGAAGGTGGAAAAGATTTGGTGCACCTTGAGGGCCACACAACAAGGGTGATCAAAGTGCGGTGGAGCCCTCACATAGAAGGACAGCTTCTGTCCATCTCCTTTGATGGCACTGCAAGGGTTAGCTGCCTTTCTATCCTGTTGGGTTTTCTCCTCATTTGGTTGCCCAAAGGCCTGTTTGTACGGGTTGTTCATGGCAATTTGGAGTCACATTAACAATGGAGACCTTTTAAGCTTTGATTTGGATTCATTCTTTTGTATGGAAAATCATCTCATAGGTCCATGCACAAAATCTAATTTCATGGCTCCATGCAAGTGATAGACACTTTAGATACCTTGTCTTTCTATTATTGACCTTTTGCATGGTGTCACCACAAGTCCCCCCTGGAATACCCATTACATTGTTTCCAAATGAAATTCATACTCTCCCTATAGGAGAGCTTTCATTGATTGCAGGTAGTGATATCTTACACACAGGTGGTTACATCTATCACCTGATGAAGTGGAAGCTCTGGAAATTTGTGTTTTTTCCCATTCTTCACTATATGGGGGCATATGAATTCAATCCAGAAACAGTGTATATGGGTCTTCTGATTATATTTTCTATAATATTGATTATTCAATAGTGACAAAATGTTCTTCAAAACTTGAAAATGTTGTAGGCGTAACAATTATTTTGAAAGGCTTCAGCTATCTGCATGCTAAAAAATATATCAGAAGTGGATTGGAAATCTACAAGTGATGCAAGGAGATTACCACTGTGGACAGTGGTTCCCAAATATTTGACCAATGGAATTTTTTCACCCATGAGATTAAAGCTGAGAAGCTTGAACATGTCACCTATGGCAGGTAACATACTTGCAAAATCATTCTTGGATGGCAAAAAGCACTCTCCTGAATGTGTTTTGGAAGTTTAGATTTCTTCAATTATTTTGGCAACCAGCAATTACTTATTCAAGGACATCCAGATCAGAGAAAGGGGCAGCTTGATGAGCAGTATCTTACAGGTGTCCCAAAGAAATAAAATTCAAGTGCATCAAGTCTGGAGACCTTGGGGCCCAATCCTGTTGTTCTATTCTCAAAGACTCCCTGCATTGTCTGGTTGCCACCATGTCACTCACATCTACAGTAATTTCCCAAAGTCCTTTGAATGTAGGAGAAATCTTAATTGCTAAGCAGATCAGAGTCCATCAACAGCGACAGGTCTTCCATTCTCTTTGAAAAAGTAGAGGCCAAATGAGTGTTGATAGCCAGCCACACAGAAGACTGTCACTTTGGGAAGATCCTTTGATGTGACCCACTGAAGACCTGCTGCTTGCTGACTTCCCCAGATGACAAAGTTATCAAGTTCTTGGTACACTTGTCCCAAATTGGCTGCCATCCTTGCTGTTTACAGCCTCCCAGCCTGCACATCCTGGTGATCAAGACAGGAAACTATTTTTTCAAAATTCTTCCAAACTCTACATGTTTAGCATTGATTGAGAGGTTGGAGATTGACTGGCAATGTGAAACTCTCACTACTTAGACTGGGGATGACCATAGAACACAATCATTACTCACAATAAACTTTTGAGTGTCTCTATTGAACATCTCACAAGCTAAAGCTAAGAAGTCACATTGTTGGCAGAAACTTCCAAAACAAAACCCATGTTGTCTCTTTTGGGCCAAACAGAACAACATGAAAACCTGAACTAAAAAAACTTTACGAACCGAAACCAGGGATCCATGAGAAGAAGGTTCTTCTCTGCTGTTGGTGGGATTCAGAAGGAATGTTGTACTATGAGCTCCTGCCAACTGGTACCACCATGACTGCCGTCGTCTACGCTGCTCGACTTCAGAAGTTGGCTGGCGTCATTCAAAAAGAGTGTCCCAAACGCGACAAAGTTCTCCTTCGGCATGACAACGCTCGTCCACATGTTTAAGTTGGCTGGCGTCATTCAAAAAGAGCGTCCCAAACGCGACAAAGTTCTCCTTCTGCATGACAACGCTCGTCCACATGTTGCGAAGATGACTCGCCAGACGATTTCGGAACCAGGCTGGGAAGTTTTACCCCATCCAGCGTATTCTCCGGACTTGGCCCCTTCCGACTATCACTTGTTCCGGGCCCTCAAGAATCACCTGCGGGACAAGGCCTTCGACGATCGAGCACGGCTCGAAAATGATGTCGGTCGTTTCTTCGCTTCGCAATCGCCAGAGTTCTGGGCAAAGGGCATCGAGCAGTTACCCGTGCTTAGGGAAAATGTCATAGAAAGCAATGATCATTACATTGTAGATTGAAATTGCATTTCAATAAAGTTATAAAATTTTGAAAAATTTGCACAGAATGTTGCAAGACTTTCTTTCCAACCCAATATTTTGTTGAAATGGCCTGAATTTTAAATAAATCTCTCCATGATATGATTACACGTTTATTTCTTTGCAATATTCAAATATTAGATTACCGTTTCAACTGTTTTCAAATTTTTAGTTATTTTTTCAGATCCATAATCTTGATGATGAATGTGCAGGAACGTGCTATGGCAGTAACTTGTCGCATCAGAGGAATGAAATGCGAGATAAGAGAGAAATTAAGAAGAAAATTTCATAAGCCTTGATTACCTAGATTCCCCTTTTTTTACCTCGATATGTTTCAACAGTTTCTAGAACCCGAACTTCCTGCAGATGGTATTCTCGACACTGTAGTCTTTCAGCAGGATGGAGCACCATGCCATTATGCCAGAATTGTTCAGACATTCCTCAACAGGCTTTTTCCAAATCGTTGGATTGGACATGACAAACAGGCCCCGGGCACCGCGATATCCGGATTTGACCCCATTGGATTTCTTTGCCTGGGGTTTCATTAAATCTGAAGTTCATCGCAAAAAATCGAGATTCACCAGATCTGCCAGATCGCATTAGCCAGGCTGTTCAGAAAATAAACCCCGAAATGCTCGCAAATGTGTTCCGCAATGCAATAGACCAATTTGAGATTTGCAGAGATACTGATGGAGAGCACGTTAAAACTACTGATTTAAGATTATTGCAGTGTATTTTTATTTCGATCTTTAATAATATTTGTATTTTGCGTGGAAATACATGTGTATTCAAGTCATTAAGCTATTTCTTGGAAATTCAGCCTATTTCAGCAAATAGGTAGGGACTTTTGGGACACACTGTATTTCAATGGGGACATACTTAAAATATGTGTTTCCCATTTCGCAAAAAATAAATGAATTAATCACTATCCAAGGGAATAGAGCGCCGAATGAGCGACCATAGTTTCCCCGAAGGGCAAACAAACTCGCTAGTACCATGTACTCACTGAGAAACAAACTTCTGTCAATTTGTGGTTTACTAGCTTTGTGGTTTACTCTCCTGGCTCCTGTGTTGGTCGCAAAGTTTCCACATGTTTTGGTTGCCCATATGTCCTACTAGCAATAAATATATCTTGAAATCTCAGGAGCAACCTAATTTTCCTTAAGGTTACGGATCACCATTAACCATCCTTTCTTCAACTCTCTCCTGAAGCATGGTTTTATAACTTCAAATGCGGATTCATAGAAGAATGTAAAGTACTTCGTTCAAATACAAATTTCCTATAAGACCTGCCAAGCATCTCCTCCACACGGTGCGCTAGACGGTGTCAAAAATGAGAGCCTTCAGAATTTAGTGCAGTTTCACTGATACATGCACTCTTGTCTGGAGATTATCTTTGGAGGGGAAGTGATGGAGATGCTTTACTGAGGCTTTACGGTTTTCAATGATCCATTTATGAAGCGAACTGAACCTAGGAAACCATATAATTGACCTTGGAACGAAAGTAATTATTCTCTTCAATTGCAAGAAATCCAAATCCAAATACTTCTAATACCTTGTATAAAACACGGCCAATCCTCCCAGATTAATTTGCAATGAAAAACCTTGAAATCCAAAGCTGTTATAGTCTTGAAACTGTGCCCCGTGAAGCAACTCATTCTGCCATATACATAGCATGGGATGAGATATTTTCCTGTCTCTTGCCTAAAGCGACATCTATAGTTGCCTTTTTGAGTGGGCGCTTAGAGGCTACTAGATCGGGCCTCTGCACGCACTTCACTTGCTCGTCTCACGCAGCCAGGGAGGTGCACTATTGGCAAGAAGGGAGGAAAAGAAGAGCGAGAGTCGTAATCCCTTCCCTTTCTTCCTCCACTGATTGCCCTGCACTGGCGTGCCGACAGTTTTTTGCTTAGTGGGGCGGGCACAGAGCAATGATCACTCACTTTCGCTTTCATCTCTGTTGCACAGTGGCGTAACCAAGGGCTCATTTTCTGGGTATATTGGTGTTCCACGTTCCTTTTCCCGTAGAGGAAGAGGACTGAGGAGAGGGACGAAGTTCTGGTCGTCCTTCACGTCCTGCGGACGGCACGTTTCTGTCTTCAACGACAGAGCTTATCAACTTATTTTTACCTTTCATCGATCTCTATGACAGTTTCAGCAAATGACTGTACAATAGAAAATAATCATTGCCACACTTCCTTTCAATCGCCCAATGCATGCATGTCATTTTCCAGTTGCGACGGCCTTCCTCTTTCTTATCTGCACCATGGGCACTACTCCGATGGTGCCGTGATGATCGAAGAATATATTATTGAGCCCCTCCCCATGTTCATTCTAGCCCTGCTTCATCATTCCAGCATCGAAGTATCTGAGTATAGAAAAGTAAACACTCAGCCCCTTAACTTTGAATATTTTGTGTACCCTCCATCGCCCACTCATCCTTTAGGACAGGTGGAACAGCCGTCCCACCTCCATCTGGACCCGCCATTGGTTCCCAGCTGTGACGTTTTAGCTCTGTCGAACACCCTAGCTTGAACCCGCATTGGGAATCGTACCATCCAAGGACACATTCTTATACATCCTTATACATTTCTTGGGAATCCCATTCATTAAATATTAGGGTGTTTATAAACTTTCGTTTCAGATGATGGGATTCACCCAATATTATTAATTCGAAATATGATTATTCAACGTGTTTCGATGACACCATGAATTCCATGACTTGATTGACGCTGGCTTACGGACATGCCGAATCTAACGCTCTTTGCTTGCTTCACACGCTTCAAATACCTGCAAAGATTTTCCACAGCGAGAGAGCTACTTGAAAGCGAGATTACTTTCCAAGGAGTCTTACTCATTCCAAAGCAGCGATATCCCATGGCCTACCGCAGCAACAAAGAATGAAAACAGAGAGAACCTGTCCGACAGACTTCTTTTCTCATTGAATTCTACATTTCCAACCAGATGAGTTCCACGCCCAACTTATTACGACAGTATGTACATGAAATTTGAAAACGTATGGCATAAAAGTCCATATACGGAACTACTTCAAGCAGAGAAACAGCAAAATCGTTCGTCGTTTTGGTTGATACATTTTCTCATCGAAGAGGAGAGGCTTGAAATAGAGACTGGTTCTCATGATATTCACTTAGAAACGTCCGCGTCGGAGGCAGGTGAAAGACAAATGCGCAAAAAGGCTTGACCGAGAAGAGCAAGGTTATGGATCCTGGCTGCAGACAGCTCGTGCACGTGCGTCTGTCTGCCTCCTTCTCCTTGCCTCCTTTGTTGCCAACGAAAATTCTCCCTCTACTCGCGCACCGTCTAGATGGGGTTTTGACGAAGTAGCGGCATGTGAACCGTAACCATGATGCCATGTTCACTTAGACGGCTGATCAAAATCTTCTTGAATGACTAATTTTTTCAACTCAAGGTTCTTCTTCATACGAGTGCAGGACACGTAAATTATCCCCCGTGTCATTCATTCGTCTCTGAAATCCGTAAGCAGTCTATTCTTGGTCGATTGAGGGGTGCCTGAGCGAAGCAAACACATTTTCTACGTATCGTGATGCATCCACAGTCATACATGTCAACCACGTGCTTAAGAATAAAAGTCAGGTAATTTAATAGATGTATTCAGATGGAACAAAAAGGACATGCCTTCTCATCCTTTTTTCAGACACTAGAAGGAAGAATCTGTGACCTCGGAATGCCACACCTCAGTTTCTACTTACGGGGGGCTATTCACTGTAGGGAAGAATATTACGTGCCTGGAATGCATATGCAATGCAAAATGGGTCGCATTGTACCGTCTTGTCTTAACATGTTGGCGACAATGCGTCCTGATGCCAGGATGCAGATTTCATTTTCAATGAATTGTTGAGATTTCAATGAAATTTCAACGAACTGTTGAGAACGTTCCAGAAGATTATGATTTCGTAATTACTGATAAAAATTCCAAAAAATTCAACATTAAAAAAAAAACTCGGCAAAAAAAATGTTTTCTGGGACCATGCGTCCTGATGGCAGGACGCATTTTTTGACAAAAAAAAAATGCGCATGGTCCCACGCGGCGGACAAGCAAAAATAGGCTGGTCGTCAACATGTTAATCCTCTCTGCCATTACAAATTTGTTAACCCCTTGACCACGGGATTGACTGAACCAGCCCAGCATCCCAACGGTATTATTCCAGCCTCAGCCAGGTGCTATGTCCCATGACGTAAATATACGTCATCCATAGGAAGATATAGAGAAACAGGTATGAAGAACGAAAAAAAGGTAGAGCTATGACTATGATCATAGCTCTATAACTTTGAAAATTGAGATAATAAATCGCGTATATATATGTCAACCATAGGAAAGAGGTTAAGGAAGCATTCATGTTGCAAATTGATCAACTTAGTTCTGAGAGTTGCCATTTAGCTGGAAAATAAGAAAATTTTATTGTTCATGTTTTTGAGATGATAGTGGCAAACCTATATATGTGGCTTATTAGTCATTTTTATGATTTTTCCCATCACAGCCCCTCCTTGCCCTTTTTGTGTCTCATTTTTATGTAGTTTGTGCCCTTAGGGTCTCGTGGTAGAGTTTCTCAGTCTCTTGAATGAAGGTACTTGCTGTTCTGAGCTATTTTTAAGCATTAAAAAATATTCAATTTCCTATCTTGGAAGGTCCTACTTAGAGCAAGCATTACATATTGCACTGTTTGATCCTACCATGGTTTTTTTGTTTGAATAACTGATGAACTCCTCAATAAACCTTGTCAGCATTTTATAATGCAGTCCACAGAACTTTTGTCTTACCAAAAGATAATATCTGAAATGTGAAATATTTACTAAAATTGGTACACTCAGAGCTCATGTGACTGACTAACTATATTTTGAAGAACAATAAACTTTCTTAGCTCATGTGCAACATAATTTTGAGAATATCATGATCAGTCATCTTTTCCCATCAATCCTGACTTGTTTTTATTGGTTTTTCTTTACCAGTGATTTATTTAATTGGAATTTTTTTCTGTAGGTGGATCATAATTTTCTAGTTCTAGAGTCTTGTCAGTTGGCATATAATTCTGATTTTGCATATTTTGTGATTATGGGAAGCTCACTTCCTAATGTATATGCTGTCCTTGATCCCACGCAGAACTATTCCACACGGAGCGGACACATGTGCGGAACTTGAAGGTGCTTGATCGAGTGTTTTGCCGTCCCATGAAGGAGAGTGGGATTCTTGCAGAGGATCAAATTACTCTTCTGTTTTCAAACCTGGATGAAATGATTGAGATACATGGCAGTTTCAATGAGAAACTAAAGCGCTTGCGCAAGGAGAATCCAGTCATTGGGGAAGTGGGCGATATCTTGCTTGAAATGGTGAGGCTGTGCTTTCTCTTGTAGCCAGGCTTCCCTCTTTTGCTTTTACTTACCTTGTGGTTGAGATCAGAAGTTGATGAAATTTGCATTTGCTGATTTTCATACTTTATATAGCATATGTGCTTGCATTTCACCTCAAACTTGGTCCTCCCAATTTCATGTGCATGTTGTAATATTTACTTGAAGTGTTGTTATAAACACACCTTGGACACTTTCCTCCACAGTGCCAAATCCTGTATTGAAGCAATTGTCAGATTTTTGTTGCATCATTTTTTAAATATTGATTTACAATGTTTTTTCTTTTTACTTATAGTAATGGATGACATTTACCTGATAGTTCAACTTCCTTTAATCTGATTATGCTAGTTTGTAAATGAGATTCACCTGTAAATGGTGTTGCAGTGTTGACTCTCTATTAAATGAGAGCTGTTTAGGTCAAGCCAATCTCAAAAATAATAATGTAAAGTTCAATCTATGCCTAATTACCAAGAAAGGCTAACAGGTACCTGCAATTTTGAGGATCAAGTGCAATCTTGCCAAACCTTGCCATCCTGCTGCCCAGAATCCTGCTTGGTACACTTTATGAAACTTGTTTTTGAGGATACTGAAATTGTTTTTTCTATATGGAATGTTATGTTATAAAAGTGATCTCCACTGTGTATATGGACAATACAGCAGGGTTCAAAATTTCAATTACTCTTGAAAGGTCTTGTTTTTAGTGATGTAACAATGCCAGGTGGAAAATATTATTATAAATAATTTTCTCCCCAATAATTCTTTGGTATAGTGTGTAGGAACATGGAAATGAGCTGTGATGTAAGGTAGAAGTGATGGGTTATAGAACAGGGGTGGACAAACTTGTTGAAACTCAAAATGCTGCCATGGGCCATAGTTTACCCATGCCTGGTGTAGAATGTAGGTTACCTATAGGTTGCCTATGTGAGGGCATGGGCATTGGGGTGATTCCCATTATATCATTATCAGCTGAACTATATGATTTGTCTTGCTTGTGCATCTTTGAAAAGTTGTAGAGTGCTCAGAAAAGGAAGTCATTGCTGCAGAGATGAATTTTATGTTGTGTTTTTTTAAATTTTCACATCATTACTTGCAAATTTCTTACTTGTCCAGTTTGATGGTGAGAAAGGAGAGAGCTTGGCTCAGGCAGCAGCCAAGTTCTGTCAGTGCCAATCTATTGCCTTGGCAAACCTGCGAGCAAAGCAGAAATCAGAGCACAAGCTGTCACGCTTCCTTGAAGCAGCTGAAAGCACTCCCCTCTGCCGTCGGCTTCAGCTGAAGGACATCATCCCGACTGGGATGCAGCGTCTCACTAAGTATCGCCTCCTCCTTGAGAACGTGGCCAAATACACAGATCGAGACAGCGAGGAGTACAAGAAGCTTCAGAGGACTATCATCAGGAGCCGTGAGGTCCTCAACTATGTAAATCGAGCCAAGGAAGAAACAGAGAACTATCAGAGGCTCCTAGAGATCCAGAGGAGGCTGGATAAATCTGCCTTTGACAAGGTGGATCATCCAATTGCTGCTGAGTACAAGGTGAGGGACTAGGACAAGGTTTCAGAGTTTGATGGAATTGAACAGATTCCATTGTGATATCAGCAACTCTTTCAGCCATTGTATTACTCTGTCAGACTGTTTTGTTATTGTTTTTTTTATTATTAGGGAATAGATCTTGCTAGTTCAAGAGTATACCTGGGATTGCTGATGTAATAGCCCTTGCTTTATAACCATGCCTGCTTATCAGTCTCATTTCAGATTTAATGACTCCTGTTGGGATTGTAGTGCAAGCCAGAGCTACAAAAAGATAGACTCTCACATGTTATTGTTCTATCTCCATGCTGTAAAACTTTTCTGTTTTGTTGCATTTCTTTGCTCATTTTTTTCCTTAACCAAAACTCATTATCGACTCAATTATTTGATGGTGACCATCTTTTTAGGAGTGAACTTGGATATGCTTTTTTGACTGAAAAAGTGGGCCAGAATAATACAGCAAAATCAGTCCATCAGTGAGAGTGTTAAATGTTAAGTTATTGCTGGCATGATGACTTGAGCCAATTATACATGAACCTGTTATTTAGTGAGTGGCTAAGTTTTGCATTAATATTTCTGGTCCATGTTACAATCCTGATAGTTGGCTTTAAATATGAAATGATGCAGGAAAAATGGTATGGTTACATTAGCAATATCAATATCTCCTTAAGTCATAAGGTAACAGAGTTGATTTGCAACTGACCACCAGACTGTACTACCTTGATGGAAACTGTTGCTGATTATACATCAGGATATGCTCAGTGGTGCTTGAATGAAACAATAGTGACAGGATTCAAGTACTGTGATATTAGAGATAATTGTGCTAGTAGTACTCATGATTTTGTGTATGTGTGCAGTAGTGTGGACATTAGTGTGTAACCCCTCTAATGGTTAAAAAATATAAACAGATTTCTCCATAATTAAATTAATCCCTGCAGTAGTTACTAAAATGATGGCATTTCCTCTCAATGCACATGAAATGATGGCACATCTAGTTTCAAGCATCTTATGAGAGGTTGACCAAATTCATGTCATACCATTCCTTTTCAGAAGTATGAGTATTTTGTAATGTAAACCCTGTAGCCCAGGGGTCAGGAACCTGTGGCTCAAATTTGGCTCATGAGCTGAAAAGTTTGGCTCATGGAGTCATGGCTGAAAATCATGGCTTTTCTTCATTTTTCTCATGTATCAAAGAATGCATGTCTGTTGCCAACTCCAGGAAAAATTATGCTGGTCTGAAAATCTTTTGCTCACAAGCATTTAGCTCAATCTCAATATGGCTCACGTGGCCAAAAAGGTTCCCAACCCTTGCTGTAGCCCATATGCATTTTCTTTGCAAATGTTTCTCATTGTTTTATTGCATGAGAATATTAGACTGGATTTGATTATATTATTGTGACCAGTATTCCACTATGAGACATTGCTCACAAAAACCTTCTGGGATGGTGAAAGAGTCACTTACTATTAAATTTATCTTTGGACATTCAATGAGCTGTGACAGTCAGTGGGCCTATTATAGAGGAGTGAAAGGGTACATTATATATTCATGGACTTCAAGGGTGGCCTTCAATGTGTGATTCATATGCAAAAGAACGCATCTGATCTAAGTGTTTCCTTCTTTCTCTTCTTCCATGTGGTTCCTTGTCATCCGTGGTGGATTTGCCCAAATCTTCTGTCTCCTCTATTCAATGGGCGTGCTGTTCCTCATGTGGTTGGTGATTGCAGAACTTGGACCTCACTAAGTATCGATTGGTGCATGAAGGGAATGTGGTGTGGCAGATGTCCAGTCCACCAAAGACTCTAGACCTTCATATGCTCCTTACTGATGAATTTGTGATCCTGCTTCAAAAAGACGGTGACCGGTTCGTTCTCAAGTTCCACTCGGTGAATTTTGTCAGTGGCAAAGAAGACATGAAACTCGTGCACAGTCCCATCATCAAATTTTCGTCTCTCATCATTCGCACCATTGCCACCAGTGAGTTTCCACTTTACTGCCTCCATCACGTCATAAATGTGTTGCATCTCCCAAAGTATCGACGTATTGATTCTGGCAAATGTTCCCATTTTGCAGACAAGAGAGGCTTTTTCCTGGTCAATAGTTCCCCAACTGGTCCGCAGATGTACGAAATCATCGCTCCGTCTATCGTGGAGGGCAAAGCGTGAGTCGTCATGTGTCCCTTTCCAGCTAGCAAGCATTGTGACATTTTAGAATGCCATTCGTCACCAGGCCTGTCATTGTTGAGCCGAGTTGGCCCTGTGTTGGCTGGCTGGCGTGGGTTTCGGGGTTCACATTTAGTCGTTGAGGCTCATGATTGACGTGATTTGCCTCTTACTCCTTTTTTTTTTTTGCCCTCACTCCCCTTTCCCAGAAAAGTGAAAGCATGCCAAACGCGTAGGATTCGACTATAAACACATATACCTTACGTTTGCCCCTGCGTGGATAAAGTAGGTCCAGGTGAGAAGCGTTTGAGTGGGCGTGGATCATGCGACGCCGTTGTTTACCACCTTCCTTTCTTCCTTCTTGATGAATGAAGGGCTGGCTTGCGTAGTGAAGTTCTTCTTAGAATCGAGTCGGGGGAGGGGAATGAGGTGGACTTCTAGGGGCAACGACAGCTAGTGGTGGTTGGAAGGGGTTGGTTCCTCGTCTCAGAGCTCGGCAACGTCGCCGTCGTTCGAATGGAGGACTAATCGTGACGTAAACGGGTGGTTCCGTTTCTTGCCGCTTGGATTCGCCACCGTCGTGCCTTGCCGCCGATGCGTCTAGTAGGGTCTGTTTCCCACGGTTGGTGAACGGGTGTGGTTGGGTTTGAATGATTGCGGAGTGGTCTCGTTTTCTCCGGTGTGACTGATGGGAGGGCCCAGAGGGGTCAGTGTTGGATGTTTTGTATGCTGGGTCTTGATTATTACGTGTCACGACAGTCGGGCCCCTTGCGCCCCTACGCCCGGCGTGCCGCGCTTTGTATATTTTCTGGGAGAGTTGAATGAAGGCAGATGGATTGGAATCAGTTGACGTGGACCATAAGCGATCCTCGTCAGGGATGGGCAAGATAGTCGATAAAAACGTAGATGAAAGATCCAGATACTCCACTAAGACACCATTCAAGATTTGGGAATTATGTATTCTGCAGTTAAAGCACGTAAGGTATGGATACAGGTGTCAGTATCTTTTTAAAAAATATTTTCAAGATTTAAATCAGCAGAGAGACAGGTGCTCGCACCTTTTTAATGCTTGACGATTTGAATACTTTCAAGAATGTTCTATTTTGAATTCTTTCGGAACTTGTTCCCCATTTTATTAACTTGTTTTCGGACTGGGTCAGCTCGCTCATCTGCGACAGTCACACTTTTTTCATGGTATGGTCGATATCAGGGCACTGAATGCTTGAGGGAGATAATTCGTTCCGCTTTGTGTGACGGTTTCTGAACCGAAATTTCCGTGGTTGAATCACGCCAATAAAGGTATTCGAGTTTTTCAACTCTGACAAAAACGGACGCAGAAAGAAAAACATGATCTAAGGTACAGGCGAACGATACTAGAATTGAAGGTTGTGTTGTGAAAAAGATACGTATCTGAGCTTGACAAATACGTATGACACATATGTGGGCGTCATAGACTTTCTCGTTTGAGATGCGGATGACGCTTGTTTCCGTCTCCACAGTGACTTCCCAGATCGATGCCATCTCTACGGCTTCTCGCATTCAATGCGAGAGTTTGGAATATTAGAGTTTGGAACAAAAAAAGTGCTGATGTCTTTCGCTGAGCTAAACTTTGGGGCGGGGGAAGTCGCTAATAATGTTGAAATTGTGTTGGGTTTTACCCGTTGAAGGGTTTTACCCGTTGAAGGGTTTTACCCGTTGAAGGGTTTTACCCGTTGAAGGGTTTTACCCGTTGAAGCCCAACGGGAAACAGAAGCTACTTTGGAACGAATATTTTCTTCATTTTTTTCATCGATGTCAGTGGGACAATCTCTGTGGCTCTCCATTGTGTGCGATTTTATTTTCAAACCATAGTCAACCCTCGATATACCGCCACCCTCGCTTACCGCCTGCTCTAACATGAAAAACAAATATTTCCCATATGCTTATAATAGGCGATCCCCTATTATAGCGGCATATAGCCGCCATCCGTCAACACCATCGTTTTGTACAAACATCCTTTTTTTCCCGCATAAATCCACCTCGATTTTGTGCCAAGTAGCATACGCGTTCCAACCATTCTCCAGTGCTAAACGCAGCTGTTTCTTGCCGCCGTGAGAGGTGACTCACTGGCGTGGAATGGGTAGCATAGGACAAGTATAGACAATCGAGGCGACGAAGGATAGCAATGTAAGTTGCTCATCCATATAGTCAATTTGACCCTCAGATATTTCGTAGCTAATGGGTTCATTCGATACAGCGCCATTCGCGTTATAGTGCCAAAATTGGCGGCGATCATCAGTGGCATTATGTCGAGGGTTTACTGTAGTATATTTGTCAGGTATCGGTGTCCGTTGGTTAAGGAAAGAGAGGCTTCGTGAGACTTAAGCTACTCGGACTGAATTGGCTTAGAAAAATCCTTGCATCTATTTTGCTCATCTCCGATGCTCGAGGACTTGATACTAGCCTTCTCCATGGAAGTTATCTCGATTGCCTCTTCATTGACGCGTGAGCTCATTGTTGCAATCTTTCTCTGTCCTGGGGCTGTCAACCGGCTTAACCCGGGGATTGACCTTGAGCTTTGATTCCATTGTATACCGTCGCATCTCTTTCAATACGAGCTTACTCATTGTACGCATGGGTTATAATGCATTCTGTTCCGTCGGTCTCCAGGACTGAATCGATGTCGTCCCTTGAAGGACACACACAGCCTCTTCGTGAAGTGGTAGGTGAAAAACAGTATGCAGCTGTTGTCACCTTAATTTTTTTTTCGTTTCCGTGCTCTAGTAAAAAGAACGTGACCTAGAGGTATGCATACTCTGCTGAAGGTTGCATTCATCTTTGAATATGTGGAATTTAGAAAGGCAAAAGCCCCTCCTCCG